ATGCTTCGCCGGAATCTGCTGCCGAATATATACAGGGACTACCAGAAAATGTGATCCTGAACCTTTTTCTTGCATGTTTTAATAGGTCATTACATCATCTAGTGACGAACCACCTAACACTCCGGTATGCCTCGTACCACAAAAGAACCTTTCACCTCCATCGGTTGTCCGATAGCAAGCTATTTGGCATGCCCATTGGCAGTTCAGTGCACTGATATATTGGGCTCTGTAGAATAGAATTGAACAAAATATTGTTTATTCAATATAGATTATTACATAATACTTATTGAAAGTATTTTTTATTTACCACTGGTTCAGAAAATACCTTTGTCCTAGGAAGAACCATAACAAAAAACCCAGCGGGATAATTTTTTTTTTCGCACAAAAATTTTGTATAATTAAGTATGAATTAGTATGCCTCTATTAGAATCAGCACGGTAGCAATCAGTAATCACCTCATTTATGCGGTTACTTCATGTATCATTCGAGTATTCCTTAATATTATAATACTCCTTTTTGTAAGTTTTTTTTTAATTAAAGTTTCAAACTTGTTTGATTAACAAACTAAAACTTTTTTGAGATTTTTTGCAAAAGCGTATAGGTAACTTCACAAATGCCTTACGAATTCTGTTGAGTAGGATCTCTAGGATCAAACATAAGACTAGTCTTATGTTTGATAACATAAGACTAGTCTTATGTTTGATCCTAGTATATAGTTTGTAGGATTGGTTCTTTTGTGGATATCATCGTTCGTGTTTATTCTAGCTCGTACAGCCGTAGTACACGTGCACTAAGGGCACTTTAATAAGGCCAGCATAGGCAAGTGTTGATTTTCGTCTGTTGTCAGATGTCATCACCTAGTCATAGCACAAACAAGTACAAGGTATATTCTCTAGAAAATCCATTTCGTTCCCATTATTATTAGTTAGTGTGATTCTCGTATAATTGTTTATTGAGACGATGGAAATATTCGTTTTAGACACATCGACTGTAGAAGGAATTCCAATGACAGCATTTAATATTAGTGGGAAAAAAGATTGTTTTAGCACGTATCTATTAATGATGATGCATTTAAGACCATTCTACTTATATAATAGAGAATTGCGGAAATTAGTGTTGCTCCTTTTGTCTGTCTGCTGAATGTTGGTAATAATTACATTGTTCTGGTATATCTTTATGTTACGTATTACGTAAATTTATTATTTTTTCTCACATCAAAATTGGAAGACACTAATTTTTTACTAAGTTTTAGTACTAAGTTACTCAAAATTAATTAAGAAATAAGTATATTTTTATAATTTAGATATTAAATATATTTATTGTTTTAAACTACCCATACAACTAAGCGTAGAGAACTAGGAACCCGTTTAGATATCGCATCTGCGTTTAAATATTAAAATCGATTATGATATGTGTGTGTGTGCGTTTGTCACAGTAATCTTACCATTAAGTGAACTTTGTGCTCGGTTGCCATCCTTAATTATATAGAGTAGGCTTTAATTTTGATCAATACTTAGTTCCTTATTCATACTTTTTGGGTTGTCTGTTAGGTGCATTTATAAATTAATCACATGCGTTCGTAGGCGGATATTTCTGTCTATCTGTATATTAGCGTATATTGTACAAAATGCACTTTATTACCTTAACAATAGTGTTTAATTTTTATCATCATATACTGGTCGATGTTTTCCATTGAGAAATTGATGAAAGCTTTCTCTTTTAACCCTTTCGCTGTCCCGTGCAGGTACTATTTATAGGTCATTGCTATTGTCTTACTATTGTGTCTGAAAACTGGACAGTGAAAGTGTTAAATTATGGTGATTATGATTTTAAGTCTTAACTTTAACAAGGTAGGTTCTATAAATGAGTTTATTTCTTTGTGTATATAATATATATCATTTTCACGTTTAGGATACAAGTGATATAGACCATAATTTTCAATTGAGACTATTTATTAGTTTGAGTCGAAAATCTAAAATGTATACTAGGTACATACTTGTTAATAACGTGTGCAAAAGCAGTAAAATGTGATTAGTATTTGTTTCGGCTTTTGGCTTTTATGCTTAGCTTCTACCCTTGCTTTATTCATTACTAGGTACGAACCATCCAACAGTTGCATGCAGTTACAAAATAATGGTCCTTCAGCTTACAATGTTTTTTGCGTGCACTTCTGATAGAATAAAGTGAATCCCAACAGAAAATTAAATGTTTATTCGTATGCTGTGGCCTATGTATTGCGACGCGGTATGCATTTCAATGCGATACAGCGTAGAGATAGATCCCTCGTAAAATGCATACGTCAGCAGTGGTTTACCATACTGGTACAAAGACGTAACGAGGTATTCCATATTAGTCCTCAGGATTGACAACGCATCTGCATTTTGATTCTTAATCTAGGATAGGTCTTTGAGCCACAGCATCCACTTACTTAATAGTATGCAGATGCTGTGGCTTTAGATTTGATTAATATACGATTTGGAATAAAAGCTATATCTTCAGGTGACAAAATAAAAAAGGGCCAAGACACGACGAAATATTTAATCTTTTTCCCTTTCATACATTCTTTTCTAAATTCGTCATAAAACTGTCGAGAGCACATTCATTATTAATTATACATTATACTTAACAAGACCTCACATTTTCTGGCGTGTAATTAACTACATTAATTTATCTGTACAATAATAATTACGAGAACATTAATCATTACAATTAGATAGTTTAGGTAAGTATGCTTCTAGACGTAGTCAACTACTGAAGTATGTAGGAATATACTCTGCAGGAGGCGAATTACATGACGGTCTGAAAAGCATGTCTTTATGCATATCGATGAATATATGCTGTAAGTACTTGGCCAAATGGTAACATTACCCTTAAATATTGATTACACTTGTCAATATCAAGTTATGGGTTGAAAAAGATAATTTATATCAGTATAAACTATTATAAAAACTATCAACTAACTTCTGTCTGCTAGTGCGTATTGGCTCAATGCGTAGTATAGTCAAATACTACATTAAAATAAGAAACCTAATTATAAAAGGGAGCACGGTATTAGCATTGTACTTATAACTTTTATCAACCCGCCTGCTATGTGTGGTACTGTGGTAAAACTCCTTTCTAAAGATGTTAAGACTAACCGACTGACCTAAACCAATGAATAGATGTATATGCATTGTCAGTTTAAGCCAATACTTAAAGGTATAAAATCAGAAAGCTTTTCAGACACTGTAAATTAACTTCATTATGACTATTTTTTTCAATTATTTCTGCAGAAAATACAATTGCTAGAGACTTAACGAATCGTCTAAGTTATACACAGCAAATTCCGAATAACTATCATTTATCGAAATAAGGTCAAAGCCACATCTAAAGGAAGCCAACATATATAAATATATTTTGCAATAAATGTACGATAAATGCCTTTTATTTCAACATCAAAAACCAAATTATCTTCAAATTATATCGCGCCGGCGCGGCGCTCAGAATAAATAATTAGAATATGTAAAATTTGCAAAAATAATTAACTTGAGATCACGTTGAAGAAAAAAATGTGAATAACAAAGTAGATAACATTTATACTATTCTCACATTAGATGTGGCCTCTTCCTTTAAACGCATGTGATATAACACAGTGGTAGTCGCTCACCATACGTATGTCAGAGATGCATTGTACTTATGTAGAAATTCGGTCACCTAGACGAGGTCGCCAATTTGTACAAAACATCTAATTTATCTACAACATTACGGGACAATACAGATTTAATGAATTAGATCCGAGTAAACTACTAAGTTTACGATAAGACATTTAATACATAAATATACGATAAAATAGGGAAGATGTGGGAGGTTAAATAGAAGGGATAATCTAAATTAGACGATGAGATGACCACCGTCTCTAAACACTTTGTCTACTCGAAAAATGTCAAACAATCTGTACACAGTATGTCTAATTCGATGTATAAAGAGAGATACAAATGGAAGAAGTTAGTTTATATACTGTTATTATACTTGTGTATAAATAAATAATAAAATATTTAACTAAAACAAAACATATAAAAGCAATAGACAGGCTTAAGCGAACAGTACAATGAGTCAATAGAGGACAATATTAATGCACTTGCCCATATTACCTAATTAAATTGATTATAACATCAACTTTAATATTTTCAAAAATTATAACAGTAACTTAATGTTAATCTACTGGAACCGAGTTAAAGCTTTGTCAGAAATACATAATTTAAATAACAAAATTTACGAATTACGAGATTAAGAAATTAAACAGTAATAAATATTTGATCATAATGCGGGATGCAATCACTGATTATAATTTATGGAGAACATTGCGCGCCGATGGTTAAAGTACAAATAATACGAGTACGTAGCCGGCAACTGACGATTCCTAGTCGGCGAACATCTTACAAGTTGCGAATACATATCTAGAACTGCCACCAAAGCGACCCGAGTAATTCAACAATTTGGTAACAAAAATAAAAGTTAACTGATTAAATACTAAACCAACCTCCGAACAGCGTACAAGTACAACGATAAAGCAGTCTCACGTAATATAATACAAGAAATCCATTTCGCAATAAACTATCTGGGATCTACGATACATCGGTGACGCCTTTAATTTTACATTTCATTAGCACTTACATTTAAAATACATAATCAGCGCTATATAACTAGATATCAATAATATCAGGAATCTTTATTCTGCTCACATAATATAGTCTTGTTACAATTAATTACAGAGCATAATTTCGTAATTAACACTATACACAAATCGACAGCACGGTTATTATATATAAGTTTTGAGATTCTCTGGGACTCGAGGTCTTTACGTACGAAGCGGCACAGCAAAGTTCACTCCATTAAACGACACGAGCTGATCCTCTCGAAACCTTTAAGTCAGTCCAACACAACACTAGTCCTGCATCCTTATCTCGCATTTAGCTAGCTATACCGTGGTGAAGTGGATAAGTCCCAGAGAATGGCGCGGGTCACTGATGGTGTTTCGAAGGCGGCGCGTGGTGCAACGCCACGTGGTGGGGAGCGTGGTGGTGGCCACCATGATGGTTGTGGTTATTGGCGTTGGAGTTATTGTTGTTGTTCTGCGCCGCCTGTGCCGCTTGCCGTTGAGAATTCTTTTTATTCTTCATCCGTCTATTCTGAAACCATATCTTCACCTGTCTCTCTGTGAGATTCAAATTCCTCGCCAGCTCCCATCTCTTCTGTTTAGATACGTAAGCGTTGAAGAGAAACTCTTTCTCCAGCTCGAGAGTTTGGAACTTTGAATAGGGTTTGCGTTTTTTGCGCACCGTCACTTGCCCAGTCCAATCCAGTGGATTTGAGGATCCGCAGCCTACTCCGACGCCCACCGACATCGAAAGGGAACCTGGACAAAAATATCATAATAGTTAGTTTTAAAAAATGTAATAAAATTAAATGGATGGAGGAATGTCGATTTACGTTTTTTTTTTCATTATTTTATTTTAACCTAATTGTGATTTTATAATGCATAAATAACTATTAACTTTTACATTTGTGCTGATGCACAATGATGATGGGTGGATGCCACAAACGACGCTGCGTACAAGACAATAAATTTTAATTACAGCAACCTTGGAACCCCAATCGTTGCATACACAGCAGAGCGTAGCGTTAACTAGTAATTTCTATGCATAGTTCAAAGAAACAATCGTGGACCGAGGCGTCAGAAGTAACATGTAGCGCGGTTTATGTGAGCGGTCCTTTTGATGAGATCATCGGTTGACTTTGTATGCGAGGTTTGCAACCTTCTCGATATTCGATGCAGGCACGCACTGCACCATTTCCTATTATACAAAGCGGTAAAACGAACGTTGCGAAATAGATGCCGCATTGTCTAGAACTTGTGTCGTAAGGCAACTCCGATTGTCCAATATCTGTACGAATAGACAGTCCACAGCTGCCCATTTCCATCATAGCTAACGTGACTTAAGTACTTTCGAAAGCAAACGATAAATCACCGGTCTAACTCTAAGCTCTATGTTAACTTTGACTTCAAATTTTCAGTTGTGTTTATTTGTTTTTTAACAAATAAACAACTGAAAATTTGGCTAGGCTAGGATTTTGTTTTGCCTAGGTTTTTGGCTAGGTTACTGATCAAAATATTTTCGATTAGTAGTGTGTATCGATTAATAAAAATCAGGCAGAAGCCCGGTTTATGAAGAAATCGATTATACGCAGGTTATTTTTTTAAATTTTGCGGTATTTTGCGTATCCACTGCAAGTTACGGCAACATCGTCAAAGAAAAAAAAAAGAATTACATTGAGTTTTGTAACATAGTGACCATGTTATTCTATTCGTTCTTAGTATATATTACAATCTCTTTGTAAATATTTATATACCAGTTCTTGTTTCGCTCGGTACTGGAGAACCAAGTTTGCCTACTAATGACATCAGTAAAACACAAAACTGTCACGTAGTCAAAACAAATTGCTATAAACGTGTAAATATAGCTTTAAGATATTGTCGTTTATTAGGATAATATTAATTTTTATTGCTGAAGTTATGACGGGAAGGCCATATAGATCGAAGAACTGACAAACTATGGGGAAGGAAGAGTCGAGTGGCAGCTTCGTTCTGGAAAGCGCAGTATTTGACGACCACCCACTAGATAGAGCCGTCACTCCATCTAGTAGTTTTACGTGGTTGAGCCATGCTGCAGCTATATTAATAGTATACGGCTCATAGAAGGCTCCGTTGCGCAGTGGCTTAGCAATCAGTTGTTGCGCTGGGGGCCGCGGGTTCAAATCCCACATGGAGCAAGTATTTGTATGGCCTACAAATAATTGTTCCGGGTCTGGATGTTTGTCCTTGTGCAATTTATGTTTGTAAACTACCTCCACGACACAGGAGAAAATCTGTACGAATGTGTGGGGGTAACATTTATAAAAAAAGATCAAAAAAAAGTATAGTTGTAGCACGAATGGGTCAGCTCGACCGGGGAAGGACTACACTCTCACAGAATACCAGCGTAAAATAGCAGCTTAATTTTGCTGTGTTTCGTATAGTGAGTGTAGAGAACCGGAGACCCATTTTACTGGAAAAGAGGCATTCTATCTTAGTCTTGAAGGCTGACAACGCGTCTGCATTTTAATTCGCAAAGGAAGATAGATGCAGATGTCTATGGGCCACAGCAACCACATACCGTCAGGTGGACTGTGTGCTCGTTTGTCACCCTAATTCTATAAAAAAAATAGTGGGATTGTAGTGATTATGATAGTGATAGTGACGATTGTACATAATCATCTATGTGGGCTTGTGGACATACAAAATAAGTATATATAATTACTATTCAGAATATTTTTTATAATTATCAGAAGCTACTATTGATCTAATATTTATCTCGGATGCTTAAAAAAATTAATTTTTATATAGACAGACAACACAATTAAAAAAGAAATTAGCAGCACAAATTTTGAGTTAAGAATACACCATTAGGTTTATTGGACCAACATTGGAACGTTAAAGAAACCCTAACTGTAATCCTAAACTCACCTAACACTAACCGAGCCAGTTCTTATCCATTAGAGCGGTATCTAAGTGAGCGGTGGGTACATAAAACTGCCCTACCGCAACAAGCCGACTCGTTTTGCCTCACGTTGCTCGATATATATTTTATTACGCGCCTATTCAACGTTGAATTATTTGGGAAAATTATTAGTAATATTGGCAATAGTTTATTAGCAGCGGTTGGAAACATCAATGGAATGTCCTTACCAGTGAATCTGCTGTTATGGATTTTTTTGTAATTAAATTTAAATATTTTATTTACAATTTTTTTTTCAGGGACCGAAGGTAACTTAAATGGTTGATTTGCTATTAATTTATACATTTCATTTTAGTATGAAAGAGCAAACTAGTATTATAGCTCAAATATATCATCAATTACTAAATATAATCCGCCACCACCAGCCACCTGCACTCAGAGACTACACGTCTAAATAGGTCAGGTCGTTAATTCATCTAGCGGGAGGTCATCCTACTTGCCGGTAGAAGGTTGCCACTCGAGAAATTTTCTTCTTTTTAACTATACTATGGCTCGTCTATTGCACCTTTAGCTTACAAATGCTTATTTGCATTATAGTACCTTGATGTTTCCTTAGTTAATCTTATTCTACTGGAGAAATATCGTTTACCTATATTTTTATAACCCCTATCTCTATCCATAATGAGTGGCTTAACTATCTTATATGGTTAGCCAAGAAAGACTATTTTATCAGTTTCATTTATTATCAGTAGAGTTTTAAGATACATTGGAGATATGTTGACATTTCCCATTCACTTGAACTCTTGGTCGAATTTGGATTTACCTAGTTATTAGATTTTGTTCTATGTATTTATTATATTTAATTATTATATTATAAGTAAGTATTTGTCGTTTATATTATTTAGTTTTTATATAGTCTCAAGAACAATGTTACCACCACCATAATGTACACAACTACTGTGAGTGCGATAAATACTGTTAAGGTCTTTAAAAGCATTAAGTATTTTAACCATTGATTCGGTTTATTTGCATTCTAGTAGCTTAAAAACGATAAAAAAATATTTTAGTTCGGAAAAACGTCGTTAATTAGACAAAATCAATAAAAAAAAAAAGTATTTCGAAATCGGACATATACTCTAATAATTAGAAATACGTCATCAATCTTCCTGACATTTCCTATAGTGAACTCTGGTAATATCAACCTTTATTTATTTTAACAAAATTAAATGAAAAACACTGCATAGTAGAAGACTTAAATTAATTCTAATAACTCAGCTTAGTTGCTCTTACCATTAACGTTGATGAATTGCAAATTTATGCACAATATATTTTTTATAGGATAAGAGTGACAAACGAGCACAAAGTACACCTGATGGTAATTGGTTGCTCCGACCCATAGACATCTATCTACATCTATTCTCGATTACGAATCAAAATGCAGATGCGTTGTCCCCGTGAGGACTAAGATGGAATGCCTCTTTTCCAGTAAAAAGGGTCTCCGGTTCTCTACACTCACCATACGTAACACAGCAGCGTTAAGCTGCTATTTTACGCTGGTATTCTGTGAGAGTGTGGTCTTTCTCCGGTCGAGCCGACCCATTCGTGCTACAACTATACCAATATTTAATATAGCTGCAGCATGGCTCTACTACATATAAAATTTCAGTATGAAGATTCAATATGAACTTAACGAATCTTTATAATTAGGTTTGTGAAAGTATTCATATGAATTCCAATATTGATATAAAGCCATAAAGAAAGCTTAAGTTTTAGATGTGTTTCATCTGTCACATCATTATCAACATTAACTTCCACTGCTAAACAAAAGCCTCTCCCAGAGAATGAATCACAGTACGGAACTGTGATTCATTCTCTACCAGTCACCACTCCATGGGTTGACTGGTAGAGAATGCCACAAGGCATTAAGTCCGCCCTTTGTATTCTTTTAGATTAAGGAATGCAATAAAGAATAAATAAAATAAATAAATAAATAAATCCACCGAATTCCTGCGTCTCATCACACTCGTCGTCGTTCAACACACTCTGCTTACAGGCGTCACTGTTATATATGGTAGAGGCATGCTGCAGCTATATTATGGTTGTAGCACAAATGAGTCGGCTCAACCGGGTAAGGATCACGCCCTAACAGAATACCGTCGTGAAATAGCAGCTTAATGCTTCTGTGTTTCGTATGGCGAGTGTAGAGAACTGGAACCCATTTATACTTCATCTATCTAATATATTAACCATTTCATCTTGGTCCTCAGGGGTGACAACGCTTCTGCATTTTGATTTTTCATTAAAGATAGATGTAGGTGCCTATAGACCACAGCATCCACTGACCATCAGATAGAATGTGTGCTCGTCTGTCACCCTTATTCTATAAAAAAAAATAAGATGGTAAATACTAATTCTTATAACATGTCTTTTTATTTTTTTTAATTATCTATTTATTTTTAAATGATTCATAGATTTTCAAATAACACCTTTAGAAATTGGAATACTGTAAAAATAAACCTGACTACATCTAGGAAGATAATCGATATAATATATAATCACCATGTCAGTTTACTCATTGAAAATAGAAATCAGTCAAGATTGAACTTACTGCAATAGATATTGTTTACCATACATTGGAAATAGAGTCGAATTAAACCTCTTTATTCTTGAGCGAGTTAATGTTTTTTTTATAAAGATACAAAGCCAAAGCATCAAGCTCTTATTTAAAATTAAGTAGTTCGTGTTAAATTACTAGAAGTTTGTGAATGTAATCATTCTTAATTATCTAATTTTACACTACATATTGCATTTTTATTACCTATGTAATGAAGATCCGAATTAGTAATTAAATCTGCTGTTGAATAAACTTATGTAACATATTGCTTCTTGCAGTTCAAAAAGATAATATTTTCTGTGCAGATGTACAAGTTAGCGACCCGTTATTCTGTCCGAAACTTTGCCAAACAAATATAACTTGTGAGTTGAAATGGGCGGCGTTCCCGTTTCGAACTTCAAATGAAATTATTGTGTCCGGAGGGTTCTTGAACGCGGTGTAGTTCTGTCCAATTATTTTGCTTTCGCCTCAGAAATATTTCTGATTTTCACTTAAATGAGGCATTCTTAAACTAATTTTTTTTAAATAGTTATTTTTTTTTATGACTTATGTTAAAAACTTTTTTAAAATATCTTTAAAGTTATAGTGTTTTACTTTTATAACATCTATAAAATTAACAAAATAAAATTTACAAAAACAAGCCAAGATGTCAATTATAAGAAGAGGTAGCAATCATCGGCAGTAAAAGTACGGTTTGTCTTTGCCCATAAAAACGCGCGCCCGAACACGAGCCTGCTTCACTCTATAAGGAAATTTATTCTACAAATCCAGCCTGTTAGTCTTCTCTTAATGCTTTGGGGTAAGGTTGAAAATGGAATATAAACTTTTTTATCAACAACAAGAATAGTTTTGGAACTATCGTGTTGTTTTTATAAAAGATAAATGTTTTGTAATTATTATTGCTCTTAATACAATAGTTTACGATTGTGTTACATATAAATATAATATGTAAATAAATAAGGTGGCAATCGATAGCAGCTGTTGTAAATTTAATAGATGACATAATTCCGTACACATAATGTATAAAAATGAATAATATTCATGAGTACCAGCATAAAGCGAATGGCGGCAGCTATCGCACCGTTTATAAAGTCATAACCACACAAATCAAAGTCAATGTCAACCTGATTCAGGCCGTAAACACAATCGTAATGACGCTAACACACCAGGTACAACTTTTTCATCAATTGTTTCATTTTAATGGGTCATTATATGCACATTTTACGCAAAGTTATGTCAAGTTACACCTCTGCCGTAGCAGAAACGCGATAAACCCATCTTTATGGTCAGACGGCGATTGAGAGCGAACTAGCGGCGCGGCTTTATGAATGGAGTGTTTTTATTGCTCTCATATTGACATGACGGTTGTAGTTACGTAATTACTACTTACTAGTGCGATTTGGGGAAGGAACCAGTATTATTGCATGTCTGTGACGTCGCCGCGGTTTTACGATATCATAAAAATGATATACATCTACAACTGAATCGTATGCACCGCGGGCTAGCCTCCCGCTCCTTCGTCTAGCTTTTTTTATCGCCTCATCAGCTTATAATGTGTTTATTGTGGCAATATTTGCTTTATTGCCTCTACTAAGAGATCAGTTTATTGTCTTAACGCTCAGGTATCGTGTTTATTTATTAGTTATACATTTTTATTGGCGCTTTATTTTACGTAAACTTTAATTTATTGTCGGTTGTATAGCGCCGTTTTACATTGCCTATAAAACGGTGCTTACGGTTCGTTTTTAAGCATTTGTAGCACGTGTTTCGTTCATTCATCAGATTTATGGTGGTCTGTGGGAAAATGTTATGATTGGAGCGTTGGCTCGCATCTTAAGGGAATATTTGGGAGATTACTCACGTAGGTTAGTCCGAAGTTTGTTTACGTTTCTCAGACGAATATTTTGTTATATTTTCTCATCAAAGCCTTTTCCGTATTAGATCCGAATACTATCTAAATAGTATTCGTATCTAATACGGATACTTTTACTCTACTTTTATCAAAGCTTTTCTATCCAATTTTTTATCAGAGTTTGATGGCTTTTTTACTCTGATTTTTATTACCATTTTATTACGAGTCGTTTTTCTTATAAAATAACACATAAATAGTAAGCAATTTACATAAAATAAAAATAAAGATGTGATAGTTTTTCTCCGAAGAAATGAAGTCTTCGAATGCAATATGCATCGTTTATACTGATAAGGACACTCTTACTGGCTCAGAGCACAGCGAGGGCAATGTCGTTGTGTGCGTCACGCACACAGAAAGATCGCGCGGATTTGTGTGCGCCGATTCAGCGCCATCTGACGGCTAGCAGCAAGCTATTGCCGTGGGTCAAGGTTCATAAACTTGCAGAAAAATTATTTGTTAATCAAGTAATTTTTTCGTTATACATAATTAAATTACCATAAATATTAGAATAAACTAAAAAAAACATAAATAAACACTTGATAAAAAATTAACGCCCTCGAACCCTAACCACTTTGAAAATTAGTTACGATATATGTTTACAAATTTAAGAAATTGTTTTGCTGAACACGTATGGCCAGCGATAAGTTTTAAGATTACAAACGGTGTAGTTGAAACCGGACGTTAAAAACGTGAGGTTCGGGTTAGAGGAGCGAGCACAGAATTGAAATATAACTATGTAAGTACTAACCGGGTAGACCACTCGGAGGTGGGTAAGGTGCGCTGGACACAGTCTCGGGCGCGTAGTTCCGAAGACCGTAGGCGTCGTGCGAGAAACCCGACGCCTCGGAGACCGCCGTGCGCCGCTCTTCCCCACCGACGTACGACAGCGGCTGGTCCCCGCGCGGGGCGCCGTACGGGTAGTTCCAGCAGGGCTGCGAGAAGCCCTGGTGGCAGCCGCCGTCCGCATACGGCTTGTACTCGCCGCCGCTCGCCGGCCAGAAAGGCAGCGCGGACTTGCGCTCCCGCTCGACGGGCAGGTTGTAGTAGGTGGGCCCGGCCGGGTACTGGTGGTCGAAGGCGGCCGGGCCGTCCGGCGGGTAGCCCCAGGGCTGCTGCGCGTGGCGGATGACGCCCGGCTCGGGGTCGTAGCGCTTGGCCGGGATGTGCAGGGGCTGCGGCGGGTTGGAGGCGACGGAGGCGGGCGAGGCGCTGGAGGCGGAGGGCGGCGCGGCGGCGGGCGCGGCGGGCGGCGAGCCGCCTGGCGGCGACGCGTGCGCCTCCTCGTAGAGCGCGCCGCCGACGCCGTTCATCATGCTCCACCAGGCCGGCCCGGCGGAGTGGCCGGAGGCGGGCGCTGGCGACGCGGCCGCCGCGTCGCAGGGCGCGCCGAGGCCCCCGACATGGTTGTCAGGGTACAGGGTGGCGGCCGGGCAAGCCACGGGGGAGCGGGAGCGTCGCCGGCCGGTTCACGCGCGCCGCGGGCACATCGCACCGCGCGCACACGCGTCCCGCACGCAGCAGCGGCACATGAAAGTCAAAACGCGATTCCCGATTTAGCCAGCGCTCAGAGGACGCTCGAAGCGGCGGACCCGGTTCGTGGAGATGCGGTAGAGTAGGCGACGTGCGGTCGCCGGCGAGTTTTTCGCTTTTTTCACCTCGAATAAATTTAAATTAAAGTCACTATAATTATTAAGATGACAATTGAATTTATTTAGTTGATAATATGACTCGTAAGAACGGAGACTAAAGTTCGTTTACTCGTCAAAAGTAGTTAACGCCGACGTGTTTGTAGAGACGCGAAGTGTCGAGAGTAAGGGTCGCGTCACCGATACAATGTGAGTACGAGGCGCGCGGTCGGCAGCGCGGTCGAGCGCGGAGTGGAGGCGCGCGGTGTGGCGCGGCGGCACACAGGCGCGCGGCGCGCCGCCATCTAGCGGCGGGCGGCCGCACCCCGCCCCGCCGCCCCGCCGCCGCCCGCACCTCATCACGCACCGATCACACTTTACAGGACTTTCAACAAAAACTCGGCGAACGCTTTTCTTAGGGCGAAGCTTTGCGTTTAAAACTTTCAAAGTTTTTAATACATTTTTACACCTAGATTTCATTTGCATTAAAATAAAAATTAAAGATCTCTATATCTAAAAATATAAATGTAAGATGATGTCGTAATCAATGTTATAATATAAAAAAATGAAACATTTCAATATAAACAAATGAAATCATTTTTAATATAACGATAAAGTCTACATAAACAATTTATTTATTTTGTATTGTCTGTTTGTGCGGACGGAAGGGTTGTATCCTTGTAGCGGAGGCGCGGGTGCGTAGTAAAGCGATTAATGGAGGCGAAATAGCCATAAACTGCCGTTTAACCAAACTGCAAGCGTCACTCGACCATCGCCGAGTTGCCATCAATAAAAAACGCGAGACTTTATGACGGCAACTCACTCACGTTTTATTGTGAGTATAAACTTAATTTTATCGTCTGTTAATTTCACCACAAATAATCCTAGGTAATACGCAGATTATATAATTTAATGTCAATGGCAAGGTCGTGGTCTGGTGACTTATATTTATTTTCAATTTAATAATATGTCAATGGCATTTACAACTTTAACTATAAAAAAGTACATTCAACTCATGAGATCGGTGCAATTTTCTTATGCCAAGGAAGTGTATCCCAGAGAACCAGTGACGCCCCTCTTTTCATACGCTCAACGAGTCAAAGGGAACAATACAAAATACAACCGATAAATCTACCTACAATATTTTACTCCTATACAACGACATGTTCTGTTTACTCAAGACATGGCTATAAAACGCATCGGGATAACAAAAGAAAAAACACATAACTCGCTAAGTAATGCTAACAGTCTTGTTAACAAGTTTACTGAAAGCTTTACACGGGCATTATGTTAATTGAAACCGAATTGTCGAAATAAAATATGCGATCGTCGCACAAAAACCTAATTTCCCACCCTTAGCTATAGAGTGTTCGAGTAATTATCGAACGACAATGGCTGTTGGAATTTGTAAGCGATAAATTTGCGAGCTTTGGACGTGTTAACGAATTTAATAACGAGGATTAGGCGCCGTGAAATTGGTGTTTCGACAATATTGGACCGTAGATATTTACACGCGGAGTCATTTCATAAGTACCTAAACAGCTTGTAACTGAAACGGCTGGTGCTTATTATCTATGGTTATATCTATTATGAGAATAGATTTGAGAGTAGTTATATCTATATATCTAAACGAGAATTTGTTTCCTTTTATTCTCTAAATGCCAGGATCATCTGCACGCGGTACATTATTCTGATTTACGGGCAAGGTTCTAGTAACCGAATGAAAGCAGGAAATCGCTGAATGTCAATTATAGGAGGCTATTAACGGGGAACTCCCCGTTCACCAATTTTCCTGTCCAGTGTAGTGATGGTAGATAAAAATTTCAAGAAATTCTTGAGAGGTGGCTCAATCTTGATATCCTTGTTATTGAATTTAACATTTTAAATCGGGGAGGAACTTCTCTCCAAATATATTTGGACTGAATGTGACGCCGTTAATGAATTATTGTTGATATGCTATAGCTCTATCACTTATAGCCATGCTAGAACTATATTACGATTGTAGCACGAATGGGTCGGCTTTTCACCTAAAGAATACCAGCGTAAAATAGCAGTTTAATGCTAATGTGTTTCGTATGATGAATATAGACACCGGAGACCCTTTTATACTGGAAACCAGGCAGTCCATCTTAGTCCTTAGGGGTGACAATGCATCTGTATTTTGGTCTTTAACCATGGATAGGTAGTCTATGAGTCACAGTATCCACTTAACATCAGGTGAACTATGTGATTGTTTGTTACTCTTATTCGAAAAAAAATATTTCTAATGCTTTTTTACTGTTTGTTATCTAAACATTTGTATTAAATTTGAGTTACGTTTTAGCTTATATATATATATATATATATATATATATATATATATATATATATATATATATATTTTTAAATATTTAACGTTTGAAACAAGAATGTCATATCCTTACAATTTTATTACAAGGGTAGGAGTAGGAGTTAGATTAAAATTTTGAAGTTTAACAAGTGTATATAATATTATATAATAAATTATTAAGGGTACCCAAAAGCTACTAGTCAGACCTTGATCGAAGTTATATGGGACCACATGAGAAGCACCAGATTTTAAACAAAAAAATTATCAAAATCGGTTCACGTAGAAAAAAGTTATGAGGTACACGTTAAAATGAAGGAAAAAATACAGTCGAATTGAGTACCTAATCCTTTTTGAAGTCGGTTAAGAAAGAAGGGAACCATGTTTTTGGAGAAAGTAACATTATCTTGCATCCTCCAAAGCACAAACAAGCATCAGCGCGGCGGGCGTTGAATGACACAAACAAACATAGGAACAAGTGTGCATCTGAGCCGGGCCCGTCTATAAATATTTACGTTAGGGAACTCTCCAGGCCAATGATCGGCCATACATCGCGCACGTAAATAAAAGTACGCTTTCTTATCTCAGACATGTGCGCGGGAGTTGCGCAAACGATCAGTGGGGCTGCCTGCCAATGTATAACATAGCATATAGCTTTATAACATCAACAGCTAACGATATATTACAAACGTATGAATATTATATATAAAATTTTGTACAAAATAAAATGCAGATGCGTGATTAATTACGTAAAATCTGAATAAAAGTTCTAACAATAAAATAGGTAATATTATAATATATTTAGTATTACACAGTAATTTGCCGAGCTACTTATGAAGATATTAATTTGTTTTTCCCAAAAATTTTAAATAATTTATTATGCCAAGGATAATTTTCATACACATGAATATGTTATTTTATTTAAAAATAATGAAACGTATGAAATCTCAGTTTGATACAATATCGAACAATTAATTATTAATTAACTGGCAAATAGAGCAATAATAAATTTAAATAATATTTCAAATAATAAAGAAATTTTCTAACATTCTTATTTCAAAAATTACTATCTACTAATATACTATCTAAACAAAACTTGAAATCTATAAAATATTTTCTTTCTTTTTGTTCTACTAATTCGAACTGAATTAATTTTTTTATTGTCCTATAACAACATACATAACATAACATAAGCTCTCATACCTATCACCCACTGGCGTAGACGGAGACTACGAACTTTTATTAGGCACGATTCTAACACACCTCTTGCTTCTTTTACATTCATATATCATCTACGCATACATGTTGGGCAGTTAAGATTAATGTTAAAGTCGCTTAATTGATCCATCTTAAGTTTATTTGTGAGGACTTTATTTATAATGATTTTATTAAATGTTTTAGACATAGTCAAAACTTTACACTACATGAATAGAAGTTAAATTCATACATTAAAGTTTCTTTACAAACGTTAAAGATTTTATTGTTTACGGGCTATTTTAAAATTTTAGAGCGAAAACTTTACACGCAGTCAAATATTAGATATAATAATGATTTTCAATCTACTCATGTTACCTTTTACTAATTATTGTTCTATTGTAATATGATAGAGTCGACTCTACATTACAGACTATGTAACATTATTAATATTTGTTTATCCAAATAGTTTGTAATTAATTACCTAAGTTTTGTTTTACTTAAATCAATATATGTTCAATAACTGCGACCTTGATTTATCTGGAACACTAAATAATTATCTTCATCTAACAGATTGTACTGTATATTGGTAGGTGTAAACATGGTACAATATCGTAACATTTACGTTTCTAATGTAATGAAAAATCATGACGTTATTAATAATTTTATTTTTTGTAAGAAAAATTAATCGTGAAATGAAATCGAAAAATTATTATAAGTTTATTTTAAGCTTATTAAAACATAATCAGATATTTTAATTGTAGATAAGTAAAGGGCTGTAATCTCTGTTAACTGTTATAGAAACTTTCTCTTAACTTGAATTCGTATATAAATTGTTGACAGTTGTTTTATTATCTCAACCTAAATCTGTAAGTTCCCGGTCCACTTGATATATTTTCTCGATTCACAATAATCACTTTAAACACAATTGTACGCTGTAATCGGTCCTGATTATGGTCGGCGATCTTGTCAGATATTTAACCAAACGTGAACGTTAATTAATGTACTTTGGTGCCCGAGACCACGACAAGCGAGTGTGGCATTTTGTATAAAAATCATTACATTAGATTTATGCGGTTTCGATGAAGGTTCGGAACGTATTCGTAGGGTATACTATTCATCCTTGTTACAAGGGTCACGCTAAAATAAAAAATATATTTTTCCTTTT